TGAGGGTTAAGGAATAGATGAGAATCAGGGATGCCATTAGAGGCTGGTCTGGGGTCAAGCTCAGGAAGGAGGAGAAGGTTAGTGCTGGGAAGGCTCCAGGCTGGGGTTAGAATTTAGATGAAGTAAGAGTCACTGCCTTGATTTCCACCATTGTACCAGCTGCCTTCTTAAGAATTTTCGGTCCATGCCTCGAGACCCTTCTCTGCTTCATTTTTCTCCATAGCGCTGATCATTATTTAACATCCTGTTATTTATGACTCCTTTATTTATTTGTCTAATCTCCAGGACAGTAGGAGTTTTTGTTTGTTTATTTTGTTGGCTTCTGCAATGCTGGGTCTTAGAAAAGTACTTGGCACATAGTAGCTCTGAGTAAATACTCTGCTCAAGTCCAAAAGTCTGAGATCAAGTGTCACAAATGGTCTTCCATTTTAATGTCTGTGTCCTCCTTGCCTCTTGTTATAAGGACGTCAGTTATATTGGAGTAGGGCCCACCCAAATGGCCTAATTTTACCTTAATTGCCACTGTAAAGACCCTATCTCCAAATATGGTCACATTCTAGCATAAGGAGATTAAAATATCAACACATGAATGGGGGGGGGGGGTGCAACACAATTCAGCCCATAGCACTGATTCATTGGTTAATCAGTTTTCAGAGATGAATTGAGGTACTTATGATATAGGATCAGGGTTTGGGATCAGGGATGGAATGAGGCTTGATGAGCACCTTAGGGAATGGAGAACAACGGAGCTCATAAAATGGTTCAATTCTGGGGTGAATGAGTTAGGTAGAGATAGAGGTGCCAGGAGTGAATGAGGCTGAAAGAGGGTATTTATCTCAGCCAAAGGATGAGACACAGGTATGAGGTTCGAGAGATGCTGTGTAGAGGAAGATGAAGAAATTGGTGCATTGAGGGATGAGGAAAGGAGAGGTTGGTCAAGGCTCGAGGAAAGGAGAATGGGAAGGGTCACAAGAGTAGCAAGGTGGTTAAGATGTTGAGATAGAATCAAGGATGTTGGGAATATCACTGATGGGCAAGATTACTTACATACTTTGCAGGGCCCACTGCAAAATGAAAATGCAGGTCTCCTGTTCAAAAAGTATTAAGAATTGCATGAAGGCAAAAACTGAGCCTTAAACCAAGCATCGGGGAACACTTCTAAGTATTGAACCCTGTCCAACTTCATAGTTACAACACTCATGGAGATGGTATCTGGATTAGACATGGAGACAGGTTAGAAGTCTGAACAAGGTTGTAGTGGAAGGTCTGTCCTCTCATACTGGATTGGCAATTTTTATTGAAATATGATCTGCCTTTTGTCATCTTTTAAAATTATTAGCAACTGCACTGTGCATTTATTTTTTGTAGGTGGGTCCTCCCATGATCCTTAGTGCCCTACATATGTGATTTTGATGTGTGCCAAGGTGGATTTGTTGAGATTGCCAATGCAACGAATAAGAGAAGGGTGCATGATAAAAGTGCTGGAAATGAGATAGAGAGAGTGAAGGCTCACAGGAACACCAGAACACCTCTTCAGAATTTAGATAATAAGCATCTAAACTGTGCCAGTAGCCTTGGGGAGGTTAAAGTAACCATGATTTGGTTGAAAAAAAATAAGTGCACAAAACTGCCCAGGGCCTGGCCAAGGCAGATAAGCTAGTGGCCAAGTCCTTCCCATCTTAATGCAGAGAGGGACTATTCAGATCGAGATCTAAAAGCAGGTGGTAAGTGAGGAGGAAGGGTTTCAGCCCTCCCTAGACAAAACCTGGGAGTGCCTGAAGCCATCCTAAGAGGAGTTAGAAAGTTCTCTGAGAAAGCCAGGATCTGGAGAAAGCCAAGACTCGGGCTCCCCATAGGGAGGTAGCAGGGGCCAGAGTTGCTGGTGGTGTTGGGGATTTCTTGGTATTAAGTTGAAGAGTGAGCTTCACTCCAGCTCCACACCTCAGCCCACTCTCTCCCACCTCAGCTTTGCAAGCATCTAGTAACCTTGCTGCAGATGAGGCACTGTGTTGGATACTAGGGACACATGAAGAGACAAGGTCTATAACCACAAAATAGAGGAGGCAAGTATGCAAGTGAGCAACTAGATGAACACAATGCATGTGGATGTGGCCAAGGCTGACCTGTATTAGGTTCACACTAAGCATCAGGCACACTTGATGTGATTATCCCATTTGGCCTCCTCATCACTTTTTGAGTCAGTTACTATCATTATTCTAATTTTACAGATGAGAAAACTGAGTTGCAGATAGGTTAAATCACTTGCTGAGGATCACAGTGCTGATCAGTGGTACCGCTAAGTGTTGACACAGGCAGAATTCTGCAGAGGTGCTGCCCTGAATCCTTCCTACCCTTGGCATCCACAGAGGCCCCCCCATTTACAGTCTCTGAGACTGAGTTCTGAGAATGTTAACAGTCAACACAGGTGGGGGCAGAGAATCCCACAAGAACTCAGAGTACTGATGTCATTTGAGCTATGTGGGAAGAATGAACACAGTGCACAGAGGCTGGCAGTGGGAGGAAAGGCATTCTGGGTTGAGAGGGAACTATTAGACTGGTGGTACTGGAGCCAGAAGCTTAGGTAGGGGGCTGGGAGGAGGGCAGAAGCCATAGACCCTTGCCTCATGCACTGAAAGCTATGTGAAGTCTCCTGTGAATAAAAATTTTTAAATAGTTTTATATGTATAGTTATATTTATTTATTTATTTTTGTTAGGGATGTTTCTCCTTTTCCCCCCATTGACACACTCCCTGCCCTGTCCCCAGCTTTGTTGCCAACGTCCATTGGTTATGTGTACATGCATATAAGTTCTGTGGTTTATCTCTCCCTTCCCCCCACCCCTTCTTCTGGGGATTGTCAGTCTGTACCCTACTTCCACGCCTCTGGGACTACCCCATTCCTCAGACTGTTATGTTCATTATATTCCACAAATAAGTGAGATCATATGATACTTGTTTTTCTCTGCTTGGCTTGTTTTGCTTAGGATAATACTTTCCAGGTCCCTCCATGTCATCTCAAAGGATAAGAGACGATGTTCCCAGCAGCACCATTTACAGTAGCTAAGATCTGGAATATAATGGTTTTTAAGATCAGGATGGGGACATGGTAGTACACTACGAGACACAGGAAGTAAATTTCTAAAGATCCCCAGTTTCCCTTATGAACCATGACCCAGGCTCCCTTTCCCTGAACTGAGGGTATCTCTAAAGCATATACGGTCTTTGGACCCAAAAGAACCCCATTCTCATTTTCAGGTAATCTTGATTTTTTTTTTCCCTATGGTAGTCCATGCCATAGACTAAGGGCTGTGGTCCTGTTGCCTTCAATGGGGGAAGGGTGCCGAGGGTCTGTCCTGGACCAGGAGGGAGCTTCTGTAGCCATGAAAGGGCAAGCAAGGCAGGGGAAGACTCTGAGATTGGACGCAGAGATGGAGAAGAAAGCACCTTTGACAATGGGGGTGGATGGAAAGAGGGGGAGCTCACTCTCACCACGGCTGTTTTCTGCCAGTCTTGGGAGCTGGACTAGAGCAGGCCCTGGGGTGATGGAGGTATTTCCCTGCTATTTTCCCTGTCACCCCGCAGCAGGGCAGGTTGGTGTTTCTTTGCATGGAATCTGCCCCAAAGAGCCAAATTAGGATGGAGGGTGCACCAGCTCCAGTGCTTGACTGGATTCCAGAGGTGCAGAGAACAAAAAGAGCCCTGAAAACTCAGAATGGCGCACCTGGCCCCTCTTAGTAGGCTTTGGCAGAGGTGATCCTGACCTCCCTTGGAACTGTCCTGCCCTCTTTTAGCAGTCCACTTTGTTGCCTGGTTCTCTCAGTACTTGTGTCACCCCTCTGCTACCAGCGTCTTGTCCTGTCATGTTGAACCTCCCATAGTGCTGCCTCCTGGGCACCCTGACTCCTCCACCCACCTAGCGCACCCCTTGCAGGCCCAGGAGATACATTCCTTTCCCCTTTCTGCACCTGAGACTTTCCCAAGCCCATTTCCTCCTTTATGTAGCTGCAATCCCGAGGCAGGATTCTCCCTATTCCCCAGATTTGATAAGAGAGAATCCTGACTTCCTGGAGCAGGGTGAGGAGGGTAAAAGTGAAGAAGCCAAGGTCAGCCAGTCACTGGTGAAATGCAGCCTCGACCCAACCTTTCTTCTTCGGGCCGGTTGGAGTCCTGGCAAGGCGGACCTAGGCTACTGTCCCACGCCTCTCTTTTCTTTTCTGGCATTGGAGGCGGGCCGGCCGGCCGGAATGACAGGAGAGCCAGGGTAGGGGACTGTGGGGGGAGGGGGTTGGGCTGCACGGGGACGCCAGGTATGCGGGACTTGGGTGCGGCCGCCCTAACCCGCTGCCTGGGTTTCCGAGGGCCTGCGCCTGGGCAGCACGACGGGACCCTCACCTTTGGCCAAGGGTCCCGGGTACTTTCCGGCCCGCGGGCCAGGCCCCACCCCCCGGAGGCACGGGCGGGGGCAGGGGCGGCGCTGGAGGAGTGGGGCGCGGGCGCGCGGTGCTTGGTGCGCGCCGCCGCCCCTCCGGCCCTGCTCACCCGCCAGCCCTCTCTACCCTACTTGGACCGCTCTCATCACCCCCACCCCTCTCCTCTCCTCTGCCCAGCGGTCCAGTGCGCGGTGCGGCACGACGATCACGGCCTGGCGATCGGGGCACGGTGGTCGTGGCGCTGGAGGGTGGCGAGCCAGGCGTGGGGTGCGAGGCCAGACCTGGTGCGGCAGGGTGTTGGGGGCGGGCAGCGGCACAGTCCCCAAAGAAGAGCAGGGCAGGGGGGTACCGAGGTAATGGGCAGGCCTGGGCGCCTGGCTGCCAGGGGCGGGAGCTCCAGGCGCACTTGGGCCCCAGCCGGGCAGACACAGGGTGCCCTGGGGAGCGGGAAAGCAGCGGGGCGCGGAGGGAGGAAGGAGGAGATGGCTGAGCTGGGCTGGGGGGCTTGGCCGACGGGGAGCAGGTGGGCGGGGACAGGGGCCCTGCTGGAAGAGGCTCTGCGCGAGGTGGCGGGCTGCGTACGCAAACAGGGCGGCAGCCTCCTGGGCTCCGAGAACGGTGAGGCCATTTGGGTTGGGCGCCCCAGCCCCGAGGACACGGTTTGGTGTCCAGGACCACTGAACTGGGCGCGGGGCACTGTTGGGGAGGATCTGGAGGTCCGACCGGACCAAGGCGTTTGAGGTCTTGAGTATACCCGGGAGAAGAGTGTTGCTGGGCCAGAAACAGGAGTTCCTTGGCAGGGCTCTGGTGGTGGGCTATGGAGGGTGAAGACAGGCACTTTGAGGGCTGGCATGAGTAGAAGGGGACAAGAAGGGTCCAGAGTTTGAGTTGGATCATAATTTGGGAGTTCCATGTCACTGGGTGGATTGATGAGTCATAGATTGGGAGACCACAGAATTTTTCCTAGCAATCAGTTCTAATTTAGGGAAATAAAAAGGGCTTGGATTTGGAGAAGTGATTTGGAGGCTACGTCTTGGGACTCCAGGTCTGATGGCTGCCAGTCCCCATGCGAGGGACTTTGGGAACCATATCCCAGAGTGCTATGATGCAAAATCTCCAGCCTGGGTGGGGTTAAGGAAGGTCTTTGTGGTGGCCTTCCTTCCTTTCCAGGCCTTCAGGATTCAGCTGTGCTCCTGTGGGGAGTGGGTTAAAAATTCCTCCGGCCTACAATCAGTCTTACAGTATCCACCAGGGGCAGGAGGAAAATATACATGTAGACTGCTGCAGCATTCTCTGTAGTGGAGCCCTCACGCTTCCTTACTGTTACCATAGTAACAGCCTACCTATGGTGTATTTATAGGGGAAGAAGCAGGCACTACATTTGGGGGAAGGAGGGAGAGGAGGCCTCATTTCAGCAGCAGCAGTGATGTTGGCTACAGAATTGTTAATGGATTGTGGCTATGCCCTGTGAGCTGTTTGGGAGAGTTCCTGGCTTGTTTGAAGCTTGAAAGTGAACTAATGACTTCTGCAGGTGTCAGGATAGCACACATTTGGGACTATGAGATGTGTGGCTGTACACATACCAAAGTCAGGTGTGTTTTGGGGCAAGAGATGGCTATTTGTAAGCTGTTATGTAATTTTTCCACTTAAAAATTTTTAAAAAGCTGCAGTTCTCTTTGATAAGCAATGAAACATATTTTTCGATCTTCAGTTATTAGTAAAACCTTTGCTCATTCTCTTTAAACCCTGACACAAAGGCTTCATTTTTCCTCAATCAAAAACCTTGCTGTTCGGCGTGCCACACCCACAACCTGACCACATGACCAGCATTGGCTGTAGGGGAACCTCAGAGGTCCGCAATGAAAGCAGAATTTAGAGATAATATGCCACTTCATTCTCATAAACACTGAGGGTCAACTTTTCTCACAATAATAGACCCATCCGTTGACAGATTCACACGTTGATAATTTTAGATGGGATTGTTATGTGGTTCAAAAGAGAAAAGCCCCCTTGATAGTGTTTCCATAGGTGGATGTTAGACTTACTATTTTTCCTTTAGTTTTAATTTTATTTATGATTTATATCCTACCTGTTTGCCAAAAGGATTAGAATATATATTTTAAATATACTTAAGACTCTGTAAACATAAATTTAAAAGTGTATACCATGTCACAGGAGAGAAACATATGTGCTGAACAGCTGGGCATCCAGGGTGCCTGTGCTTGATGGTCAATGTTAATGTTGAACTTCCTGGAAGCCTAGGAAGAAAGGGTAGCACAATGGGTTTCACCGTTCATCTGTCCTGCATCCAGTTAGTCATAAAACCAGAGCTCCTGCTTGGGGAGGGGAGCAGTGGGGCAATTGCTCCCAGATGTGGACAGTTGGGCCAATGCTCTGGAATATGCACATGAGTGGGAGTGTGTGTTGGGGAGAGCACTGTGCTGTGGCCAGGGTTTACATACTAGCTGGATACTTCCTGAGCAGGAGCAGAGCTTTCAGACAATAGTTCACATCAGAGGCAACACTTGCCTCTCAGTTTTGATCATGGCTATCAATGTTTTGGTACTGTAATACAGTGTTTTTTAATGCAAAGAGAGGAGAGATGACTGGTTTCAGGAGATCCTTGCCATCATGCCTGTTGAAAATGAATGTAGCAGGTCACCTTGGTTTGGGCCATGACTTTTGAGTTGGTTGTTGTTGCTATGTTAAACTTTGCCAGTGCCTGCTTCTTAAACACATACTGCCTGTTTTCAAGAAATATGTTTGTCATTAAAGGTATCTGGGACTTGCCATTGTGAGCAAAATTAGTTTCCAAAATGGGTCCTTTATCTGTCACTGTTGATTTGCTTGACCTCACCTAAGCCCCAGTATCTCTGAGGTCCTTTCCAACTCAAAAGTGCACAGATTCCTCGAGGGAAGCAAGAAAAGAGGAACCTCAGCATGTAAGAGTTTTCCTTTTTTTAAAGAAAAAAGTCAAGGTCTAGGTCTAGGTCTTCTAGACTCTCAGAATATTCTTGGGGGGAAGAGCTAGAAGGTTTGCTTTGGGCCCTGCATGGCCTCTGGAGATCTTGAGGAAAGTTCAGGATAGAATGGGAAGCAGTAGAGCTGTGAGTGGCTGTACAGAGCGTGCTGTGCCTCATAAGGTGCTACTTTGACCTTTGACCAAGTCATTGGGGTGTGGTTCACATTCTAAGGCCAAGAGAGTGCCCTGTAAGTTTTGAGGTGTGATTTAAACTCTGCTTTTCTCCTTTGCCAGGCAAGTGAGACTCTGGATCTGAGGGAGCACTATGGCAGGTGAGTTTTTCTGAGCCTAGGCCCAAGTGGTAAAGGGCCATGCCTAAGGATTCATGGGAAAAGTGCATATCCACTTTTCAATTTCTTCCCAGCTTTCCTCTCCCCAGGGTGTCCATGTGGCCCTTGTCTGCTTAACTTTTTCTGGAGCACATATTCACATGGAGATGTGCACCTACCCAGGCCACTGTAAGAGAAACTAATATGACAGACCATAAGGCCTGGGGAAGGGTGCTTATCTGCCGGCAAAGCCTTACCAGCCTGGGCACGAGAGGGCCTGGTTGACATGAGAACTAAGCCGTTTCACCTCTAGGGGAATATCAGGAGCAGATGTCACCTCTTCTTTTGTTCTCTAAAGTCTCAGGTCAGGCTTACGGAGGTGCATAGCTCATATTATGCCAGTCAGCTCAACTGTAGCTAATTTCTCCCTTTGGAATAAGTAGGTAAGGCTACCACTCAATGACATTTTTCCAGGATGCAACTGTGCCCAGTCAACAAAGACTTAGACTTTCCCTATGGATCCTGCTACCCTCTTCCCAGGTTCATGTACATTTAGTCCTCTGATTCACCCCCACCTGGGTTTGTACTAGACTATCTTGTACAAGACTATCAATCCCAGGTGATCTGATGGCACAGTTGGTCGTTCAGGTGGAGGAAAGCCACCCTGATAGAGTTTTATGAGGCTGTTGGGTGTTGGTCACCAGCATTAGCCTCAAAGAAGAATACATTCTCATAATAAGGGCTCTGATTTTTCTCACTTTGACTTGAGGCAGGAGATACTGGGTGTTTTTTCACTGATGACTACAATACTCAAATCCTTCATGTCCATTGTTTATACACAACATGTGCTCTCCATTTTACTCCATAGCACCAGAGATATAAGTCTTGTTGGGTCCATGATATTCTAGGCAGATACATCATTGGCATCACAGAAAGTCATCCATTCTATCCCTGTTATAAAGGGCCAGCCATATGTGGGATGGTGGCAAGTTATCTAGCTTTGTCTTGCTTCACCCCATCATTGTACTTCTGTGCCTGGATTGAGTTTGGTCTGAATGAGTCCCTGGGAACCTCACCATTCCAGGCTTCAGTGAATTTTTCTTCTTAGTGTTTCTGGAGGCCAAGAATGCTCATTCGGTCCTGAAACGGTTCCCTCGTGCCAATGAGTTCCTGGAGGAGCTGCGCCAGGGTACCATCGAGCGGGAGTGTATGGAGGAGATCTGCAGCTACGAGGAGGTCAAGGAAGTGTTTGAGGACAAAGAAAAAACGGCATGTACTGCCCTGTGGCCGGGTTCTGGGAGGAGAAGTAACCTTAGGAATAATAAGAGCAGGCCCAGGTATCTCAGGTGGAAGTAATTAAGGAAAACCAGCCCAGTCCAAGGCAGGTCCATTGGGGTCATAGAAGAACAGACAACATATCCTTAGAATCCCATCTGCCTGACTGTGGGGGCCTCCTCATGTGGGAGTGTTGCTCTTTGTTCTTGGTGTATTCCATAGCCTCTCTGGTAGCTCTTAGAGGCCAGTCAGATGGGGTGGGGTGGGAAGCAGCCTTGCAGAAGGTCTCTGAGGTACATCTGGGGCATGAGCACTTGTGTATAAGTGTAAGTGGCCCTTCTTATTTTGCAGATGGAGTTCTGGAAGGGGTACCCAAATGCAGTCTACTCAGTCCGAGACCCTGCACAGAGCTCAGATGCCATGTATGTGGTGGTGCCTCTTCTGGGGGTGGCGTTGCTGATTGTCATCGCCTTGTTCATCATCTGGAGGTGCCAGCTGCAGAAAGCTACCCGTCATCACCCCTCATATGCTCAGAACCGATACCTAGCCAGTCGCACTGGGCACAGCCTGCCCCGGGTCATGGTGTACCGGGGCACTGTCCATAGCCAGGGAGAGTCCTCTGGGCACCGGGAGGCAGGAAGCAACCCGCATGTGGTGCTGGGGCCCAGTCAGGGAGGCAGAACCACAGTCCGCCTCCAGAGCACTCTCTACCTTCCTGAACTCTCTCTCTCCAGACTGTCCAGTGCCACTCCTCCCCCATCCTATGAGGAGGTGACTGCACCCCAGGAAAGCAGCAGTGATGAGGCAAGTGTCTCTTACAGTGACCCACCTCCCAAGTATGAGGAGATAGTGGCTGCCAACCCTGGCTCAGACAAGTAATGGGACTTGTGTCTGTCTGGTATGAAAATCTCTTTCAGGGGTCTCTTATTTTCTTTTTAACTTTCTAAAGACTGTGCCACCACAAAACAGCCTTAGCCTCCTTGTTGCCAAATAATTTCCTAACCATGGATTTGTAGGAAGTCAGTTGTCAGAGACAGGTGGAGGGGGGTAGGGTACATGCATACCCCTGGAAAGAGCCACAGGCCAGAGAGCCCATCTCTTTCAGAAGCCCCCATGCCCCACTATCCTGTCCTCTTGTCAGGGACTAGCTTCTCTTATGCCAAAGGAATCACCCCCATGGAGTTGACTGTGGCCAGAATGTTCATAGCCTTGGGCCCTGGGGCCACACAGCTAACTGGAGACCTATGTGTTTGGAAGCCTAGGCCACAGAGATGAGGGAGAGGATCTAGCCCTTCAACACCCTTTACCCTCAACAGTCCTGTGTTTACTGTCCTGGCTTACATTTTGAGGATAGGAACAGGACTGAAAAAAAACAAAAACAAAAAGAGTAATAAACAAATAAATAACAAATACAATAAAACAAAACACTATAACCTAGGCCATTTATAAGGGGCCAAGAGAAATTAATCTCACATATCTGTGATGCTTCTCTCCCCCAATGCCCACCCCCACCCTCCTGACCAGGTTGACAGGAATGTTTAGAGCAACCTGGAAGGAGAACAGGGTATGTGAAGGATGAGGGGCAGAGATCTAGCTGGCAGAGCTGCCTTCTCCAGATTGAGCAAAAGGGACTGCGTGAACTTTGCTATCCTTGAGTGGTAGCTCTGATTCTGGTGTGCTTGGCTTCTCCCAGGCCTTGGCTCTTCAGACACGTACTGGTTGTGCACAAACTGCTACCCACTGACATGAGCTCAATCATAGCCCTGGGAAAATTCATCTGGTTGACTTTGCCTGCAGAATTCATGGCCTCTGGGGCAGAGAGCTGAAGTTTTCATCTTGTGAGGTTGATTGGCCCATAGCACAATTAAACCCATGAACTTGGCCTCCTCAACACTGTGTTCTTTGGTTTTGAACTTTTGGGGTACTTTCCTTTTCATGATTAGGTGTATCGAGTTGAATTTGAATTTTGGATGGCTCATTTATCCTTAATGATGGTGCCTACCTGGGGAGAAGATCCTAAAATGTCCCTTTTAAAAATTTTTTTTTGCAAGGGAAATGGGGAAGCCCAAGACCTGGAGTAAAAAGCCCATCCAGGATTTGCCCTGTCATTGCCAGGTGCTGGTCCATTTCTATGAATACCTTTTTGTGGCCCCGGAGCTGTCTACCTTTCCATTTCAGTGAGGTTTTAGACAACAGTGAGGCAGAGGTGACCTATCTTTAACTATCAATGACCATGCAAAAGAACATGGACACCATCTTTCCCACCCCCCATCTCCATCTTCCTGGCCTTGACGCCAAACCATTTTTCCTCTGTGGTGCTTTTTAAGATGTAGCAAATTTTTGTGGGGCCCAAAAGAGTGTACAGCCAGGGTCTCTTGGCAACCACAGCAGTTTAAAACCCACTGAAAGAAAAGCATTTTTTGTTTAAATATCTCTCTAAGGCAGGCATCAGGCTTTCTGTTTGAATGCAGCTCTGCCTTGTGGCCACAGATGACATCTGAAGGCCCCTTTATTCCTGGACACTTGCCTTGAGACTTGCTTCAAGTTAGGAGGCTTGTGTTCTCATCCCATTGAGGCCACCAGCATGGACAACTTGACCCTGTGGTTGGGGTTTTTTTTATCCTTCCCCTACCTCACAGGACTATTTGGAGGTTGACTGAGCTAATGCCTGTGTAGTACAGTCTGGCCTTAGGAAGATTCTTCTAGAAATGTGTAAGTTATAGGGGATCAGTCTTAGTGGAGGCCTTCATATTACTCTGATGTTGAGTCTTAATCTTGGGAATAAGTCTGCCAATTTACCCTTTCTGTTCCCTCCCTACTCCCCTGAGAGATCCCTGATGGGAAAGCTCCCTGATGCCAAGTGGCATTCCAACTTTCCTTCCTTCCTCTAGATTTCTAGCACTACTCTCCTACCCTTCTTCACAAAGGTATCTTTGGCCTAGAAAGTCCCTGCTTTTTCCATGATCGAGGCTGAGGTCAATCCTATTTGGCCATGTTGGAGGACCTGGGGAAACCTGAAACTCAGAGGCCAGCTCCTGCTCTCACAGCATTTTTTCGGGCAGGTGCCTGGGTGTGACCTGGGAGAAGACACTTACCCCTATGTGTCTCCTTTCCACTGAGCAGAGAGCCAGGCCTAGGTCCCATCGACCAGAGCCAAGGAACACCAGTTGCCTTTGGCATCTATTGAGCCCTTCCCTGCTGAGCTGCCAGGTAGTTTGCAGCTGGGTGGAGATAGCATAGATCTGGAAGCAGGAACTTGGCCTGATGGAGAGTGGCATGTGTCCTTCAGGCACTGAGTACAGGCTTGCAGGGAAAGCTCACTCGGAGGCAGTTCTTTAAGGGCCTGTGCTGTCTGGTTCAGGTGCTTCACAGCATTCTTCTGGGTGGGGTTGCCACCATGGTCTCTGGGACTTTTTCGCAGTATATTGTAGAAAGAGACTGTACAGTCCACAATGGTAATTATTCATCGTGGTGCACATTTGGCTCTTATGAATGTTCTGTGCATATCTTTCAAACTCTGTTTTTATATAGATGTTGATTTGATACAATGCTAATGCTGCAATAGCCACATTTTTGTTGTTTTTGGACTTTGTGTGTGTGTGTGTGTGTGTGTGTGTGTGTGTGTATACTCTTGTGAACATTGCCTTTTCTCACATGCTTATCTGAAACAATAGCTGTTGTGTGGCTATATTTGTCTCAGAAGGAGGGTTCCCATCTGAAGGGAGGAATTTCCCCTACTGGGGCTGGGCAGCCTGATGACAGGGCCCTGAGTGAGGAAAGCTGAAATTTGCTATTGGAGCCCCCCAAAGTTGCCCCCTCCCCCCCTCCCAAAAAGCTTTGGAAGAAGATGAAGCAGCTCTATCTTGGGGGTCTCTGCCTACTGGGACCCCAACTCACATGCCCTTTTTGTTCAGTGCCCTTGGCCTTGGCTCCTGTTCTATAGACATCAGTAGCTGAAGGAAATCTCAGTGCTCCTGGGACTTTTTATTTTTTAATTATTATTATTATTTTTTTTTTGGTGAAAAGTTGTATGACTATTGACTTTGGAAATAGTGGAGCTAGTTGTTTAGATATTTTTAATTACAAAATAAAAGGCTTTAAAAAATATTTGAAATATGACTGCCACTCGTTTTCAACCAAAAACTTTCTAAGAATTTTAAAAACAAGTCACAATCTTGTCCCTCCCCTGCTGCTCTCCATTGCCTGGGGTTTTCAAATTGAAAACACAAGAGAAAGAGTGGAGTTCGCAGGTGCTCAGCATGCATGTGTAGCATCAGTGTTGTCCCCTGGCTGATGGATATGCAACAGGGAGCAACTGGAGGCCACGGGCCTCCTCTTCTACTTGCCAATCCCACTGCCATTAGTGTGAATGCCTTAGGGTGCTTAGAAAAACAGGAATCTGCCTGATTTGTTGGATGTTGTCTTTTTTGGTAGCCTGAATACGAGGAATTCAGGACAGGAAAGTGTCTGTTAAGGAGTTGGAGCCAGATGGTTCCTCTCTGGCTGGCTGGCTTTTGATCTTTTGACAACCAAATGGCATCCCACAACAAAAAGAAAAAACACTGCCTCTGATTGTTCTTTTATTCAAAAGAAATCATAGAGAGAGACTCTTACTCACCTATGCTCTGTCTTTCTAGGAGTATGCACTTGTGCTATGTCTCATGTGTGTGCCCTCACGTTCAAGGCCAAGATGGAGAGCTGGGCAGCAGAGCTTCTGGTGTAGGGTGCTTTTCAGCTTGACAAGTAATGAAGTTCCATTTCAGGATTGCACTGATTCAGAAATAAGCACATCCTCCCCGCTGAAATCTCCTCATACTAATTAGTATAATTACCCAATTTAAAAGTACTGTAATCAGACTGCCTGCAACTATGGTAAAAGCCCATTAACTTGAAGCCCACTAATTCAGAACTTAGAAAATCACAACTTAATTCACAGTATCTGAAATTCTTGATCCATAGAAATATTTGAAATATTCTTCCCTTTAGTGAGTTTTCAGGGTCATATGTGTAAGAGGGATCTAGTATAAAATGAGTACCTTTTTCAAATTAAAAAGTTCAAGATATTAAGGATCCCTACACTGTGCCTTCAGTTTTGGGGTTCAGCAATTCTCACATGTAAGGCTCTTTCTATACTGGATAATCTCTTCTCTCTTCATCATGGGGATGTTGGGTAATTGTAGCTTTCATTCTACTCCTTTATTTACCTTAGAAATAACATTTTTTTGTGAACTAGACTTCAATTTAAAATAATATAACTGTGTATCTTGCTTAATATTCTGTAGAGAAGATGTTTTGCTATCAGATTGGCCGTTCCTATCATTCGCCCCTAAATATTCAAACGTAGGTAGTGTTTTCTTTCACAGGCTGTGGACGATGAGTCTTTCTCTAGCAAGAATTTCTCTGATAAAGATATTCAAACAGCACACTCCCCCCTACCCCGGGCTCAATGCCCCAACAGTTGTTCCACTGTACTGAGATATTTGCCCATTGAACAGTGCCTGCCCTACTCCCGCACCCAGCCTGAACATTAACACAGATAATCAAGATTGGGATAAACCCCACAGCTGCTTTTGCCTTCAAATCCACCTCTCCTACAGATGCCACTTTTCCAGGCATGAACACACCTGCTCTTTCACTCTGTGATTGTGATTTGTGATAGCAGAAACTCTGATATGTGCACTCTGAGCTTATAGACATGATTACTGTGAAATGGATTAATTTGGTACCACTTTAAACTGTGCTCTTATTAATGAGTTGACCCATGTCATCTGGGAAATCTGCATTCAGTAATAGGTCTGGATTTCACTGGAGCCTGGGGGCAACAAACAAATTTGCTTCTGATCTCTCTCTCTCATTGCAATTATTGAGTTTAGCTGTTAAATTTTGTCTCTTTCTGTATAAGAGGATAATGAATAATAATAAAGGACAAATGTCATTTGCTTGTGTCCTGTCCTCATCTCTTTTGGATCCCCAGACTTCCATGGGGCATGGATGGTTCTGGGCCAAACTGTTTTTTCTAAAAATCAGACTGTAGATAAGGAAACAGCCCAAACCAGTTTGGAAGAAGGAATCAGAGATATCCTGGGTCCTAGTGTTTGTCATGTGTGTAAGATTACCTCCTGCCCCACCCTCTGGGATGAAGTTAGTAAGATCTGTCATAAATCACATCGGCAACTTCCCTGTCACCTGATCTCTGGTAACTAACAGAGGTGTCCCTGGCTAGAAGGATGCCCTGCTTCATTTCAGAGCTGGGGGAGGAGCTGGAGGGAAGGTTTTTCTTGTGTTCTTTGTGGGTGGGACATGATACTCAGACTTCACCCTGTCTCAGCTTCCTAAATTTTTAGGATGGCAAGAGTCAGATACTAT